ATGAGAGGCACAACTTAATGCACCACCATTGATTTATGTCCAACTCAACCCAAAAAAATCACTAATTTTATTCACCAACCTAAAAAAGAAAAAGAATAATATCTTTGTCATTTATGAAACCCCAACTCCCTAAACCAGTTCTCACTGTCATTTTTCTCTTCACCACTCCGAAAATAAAAAAAAACACTAAAAAACACATGAACTTGTAATAAATCCTTCTAACCACTCCGAAAATAAAAAAACACTATAAAAGACATGAACTTGTAATAAATCCTTCTAAAGAAGAATTTTTTGCAGCGGTTTTTGAGTTTTCTTGTTGGGCTTCATTAGAAACACCATATCACAACAGACAGGTATTCACTCACTCACATTCACCCTCCTTTTTTTCATGCTCTTCCTCAGCAATAAGTGCAACTCTGCGGTTTTCTTGGGCTTTCGATCTACAGAACATAAGTGTTGTTCTGTGTTTTGCTCTCATCAAGTTCACTGTTTGGTGGTTTTTTGGTGATGGTGCGGGTGGTTGTGGATTTATTAGTGTTTGCAGGTGGCAGAGAATTTTTTTAACAGAGCCATTAATGGTGCAAAAAAGCCGTGTTCTGAGCCCCTTTTTCCCTCTTTGATTTTCTAGTAAAATTGCAGGGAATTTTTCTTTTTTTTGTCTGTAATGGGTTTTCGAATTTTTGGTTCTTTCTTGATTCTAACGCTGCTGAGTGCTAAGGCCTTGTTTGGCCAACAACCCAACACAGACGAGTCATTTATTCTTGAATTCTTGCAAAAAATGGGCTTAAACTCCCCACAAGACAATGGCTTTTCTGGTTCATTTTGTTCATGGAAGGGTTTAGTTTGTGATGACCGTAAAGAACATGCCCTTGAGATAGAATTCACTGCTCTCGGTCTATCTGGTCCAATTCCAGATTCCACAATTGGAAAGCTGACAAAACTTGAAAAATTGGATCTCAGCATTAACAAAATCAAAGCTCTCCCATCTGATTTCTGGAATTTGGGCTCTCTTCACACTCTCAACCTCTCACACAACCAAATCACTGAAAATCTCTCTAGCAACATTGTTAATTTTGGGCACCTTCAAAGTTTAGACCTTTCTTTCAACAATTTCTCGGGCAGCATCCCGGAAGGAATTAGCTCGCTCGCTGTTTTGAAATTTTTGAATCTGAGTCATAACGAGTTCGAATCAGCTATCCCCTTAGGTATTTCTCAGTGCAAGTCTTTGGTCTCCATTGATTTATCCGAAAACAATCTGATTGGTCAACTTCCTAATGGCTTTGGTGCTGCATTACCACAGCTAAGATTCTTGAGTTTAGCTGGGAACAGTATTTTGGGTCGAGATTCCGATTTTTCAATAATGGGATTGAAATATCTCAACATTTCGGGCAATGCGTTTAAGGGTTCTGTGGTGGGTTTCTTTGGAGGCTCACTGGAAGTGATTGATTTGAGCAGAAACCAATTTCAGGGCCACATTGCAGAAGCAAAAACGTTCAACTTGTCGAATTTGATCTATTTGGATTTGTCCGAAAATCAGCTTAGTGGGGAGTTTTTCTTTTTCACCGGCTTGAATCACGCTCGAAACCTCAAGCATCTCAATCTAGCATTCAATAGATTCGCCAAACAAGAACTCACGCAAATCGACACGCTCGAAAATTTAGAGTATCTGAATCTATCGAGCACGAACTTGTTCGGTCAAATTCCGAGCAGCATGTCTCGTTTATCCCATTTAACAATACTCGACCTTTCCCATAACAACTTGACTGGACAAATCCCGCAAGCTCTAATAACCGAGCTTCACGAGATGGAAAAGTTCAACTTCTCTTACAACAATCTAAGTCTCTGTGGGGCACTTTTTCCCCAAGAAACCTTACACTCCTCCTTCTTCGGATCCATCAACAGCTGCCCGATTGCCGCAAATCCCGATTTCTTCCGGAAGAAGAAAGCAGTGCCCAACAAACACAAGGCACTGATAATCGCCCTTTTGCTAACAATCTCCATGATCTGTCTACTAGCCGGTCTGCTCGTTTTAGCCTTCAAATGCCGCCGGAGAAAAACGAGTATGTGGGCCGTTAAGCAAAATTCATCCTACGTGGCGGAAGAAGAAGAACAACAACAACACTCGTCAGTCTCGGGACCCTTCTCGTTCGAGACGGACTCGACTACTTGGGTGGCGGACGTGAAGCAAGCAACATCTGTCCCTGTCGTGATTTTCGATAAACCGCTGCTTAACTTCACGTTCGCCGACCTTTTATCCGCGACTTCAAATTTCGACAGGGGCACGCTTCTCGCAGAGGGCCGATTCGGGCCGGTTTACGGCGGGCTCCTTCCGGGAGGAATCCACGTGGCGGTCAAAGTCTTGGTCAACGGCTCGACTATGTCAGACGAACAGGCGGCAAGAGAGTTGGAATATCTCGGTCGGATCAAACACCCGAATTTGGTCCCATTAACGGGTTACTGCGTTGCAGGGGATCAGAGGATTGTACTCTACGAGTACATGGAGAATGGAAATTTACAGAATCTACTGCACGACTTGCCGCTCGGATTAATTTATGCTGCCACGGAGGATTGGAGCACCGACAGCTGGCGGTTCAGGCAGAAGATTGCGTTAGGGACCGCGCGGGCTCTCGCGTACCTCCACCACGGGTGCTCGCCCCCGATTATTCATCGAGACGTGAGAGCTAGCAGTGTATATCTCGACTCGAATTTGGAACCGAGGCTTTCGGATTTTGGGCTTGCCAAGATTTTTGGGAATGGGCTCGAAAATGGGCCGCTGGGCTATTTGCCGCCAGAGTTTGACGGATCGTTGCCTGACCCGACTACGAAATCGGATGTTTATGGATTTGGGGTTGTGCTTTTCGAGCTGGTGACGGGGAAAAGGGCTGCGGAGGATTTTTACTCAGAGGAGAAGGAGGGGAATAATAATCTGGTGAGGTGGGTTAGGGGGATGGTGAGGATGAAGCAAGGTTTACGGGCCGTGGACCCGAAGATTTGTGGGTCCGGGCCAGATGGGCAGATGGTGGAGGCTTTGAAGATTGGGTATCTTTGTACGGCCGAGCTGCCTTCGAAGAGGCCGAGCATGCAGCAGGTTGTGGGGCTGCTTAAGGATCTCGAGCAGATTACGGCTTAGGGAATGG